TAAGGATGGCCGGAAGCAGTGCCGGCAGGGCATAAAAGGAGGACTTAGAGCATGGAGATACTGTCTCAGGCTAGCCGAGGGCTGCGCTTAAAGGGTCCCGACCCCCACCCCGGACACACAGTTCTAAGGGGTGCCCCGCTTGCAAAGAAGTTCTGGCTTGGAGTGCCCTGAGTGCCCACACTGGGCACATCACACCACTCGGCCATCAGCCCGGCTGCACTTGCCGCAGGCTGCCATCTGGGGAGAGGGAGTAATTGGGGGGCTGCAGGAGAGCTCCCACCCCCAGAAGCCCGCAGAGCCAGCCCAGTCCTCCCCATCGGGGGCTCGTACCCCATTCCTCCCTCACCTCCTTCCACTTACCCTTCCCTAGCCCCCCTTCTTATTGATGTACAAAATAAAGATAACGTTTCTTCCAACATTGACTCTGTCTTTATTGAAAAAAACTGGGGGAGACTGGGAAAAGGAGGTGGGAGAGGGGAAGAGAAAGGCTGGGAGAGGGGAGGGCAACTAACATGATCAGGGGTTGGGAACAGGTCCCAGATGAAGAGAGGCTACAGAGACTGGGACTGTTCAGCTTAGAAAAGAGGAGACGGAGGGGGGACAGGATAGAGGTCTCTAAAAGCAGGGGTTGGGTGGGCTCTTGGGGTGAGAGAGAGAGAGCGAGAGAGAGAGAGAGAGTGTGTCCCTCCTCTTGGGGGAGAGAGAGAGAGAGAGCGAAAAGGAGAGAGTGTCCCTCCTCTTGGGGAGAGAGAGAGAGAGAGAGAGAGAGAGAGAGGGCCTCCTCTTGGAGTGAGAGAGAGAGAGAGAGAGCGAGAGAGTCCCTCCTCTTGGGGTATTTAGAAGGCTTTATGTCCCACTCCGGAGTCCTTCTCGACTCCAGAGCACTTGCTAGAACTCCGAAGTGGGGGTGGGGGAGCCGCCACAAACGGCACCTTGTGAGGAACCTCAGGAGCGGGACCTTCCCCGAGGGCTGTCCCTGGGGGCTCCACTCCCGGTGACCACGGAGCAGTGTCCCTCCGTGGCAAGGCAGGGCTGTGGAGTTAGCTCTGTGATCCGTGATGAGCCCACGTATCTCAAGACTGTGGCAGACGCTGTGTCCTGCTCCACCATGCAGTGCTGACTGAACGTTCCCGAGACCCCGCCGTTGCAAACCCCGCGGGAACGGAGGGCATGCCCAGCTCTGAAACGCTCCCACTTCGGAGCAGAACCTCACGGTTGCTTTTGGAAAGTCTGCAGCGGAACATTGACTTGACACAGCGACAAAACTTCACCGTGCTGAAGACGACCCTGGTCCCTTTATTTTGCAATGGTTTACATTTGCCATGGTACTATGCTGTCTTGGCCTGACTGTACTTCCAGCTCCACACGCGGTGTGAGGTTGACTAGTTAGCTCACACCTGGTGTTCCTAACTCTAAGGTTCTATTGTATGGGCTTATGCCCAGGGGCTGCTTTCCACATGGCCGTGCCGAATAATAATTTTAAAGGGAGGCTACGATGTACAGAGCAAACTGGCAGAATGCCTTTGAACCCCTAGGGAGTGGTTGCTCACATGGGCAGCAGCAGACAATTGCAGGGTGAAATCCATTTGGAGAGAGTCTAGTTAGCAAGAGCGTCTCCTTCAGATCTTTCAGTAGTGGGGAGAAACAGCGCTGGTGCCTTCTTGGATGGTTTAGTCCATGTGAGAGAAAAGCCTGCGCCCTTCTGACATCCGGAGCCTGGGACAGGGCCAGGGCCAGGGCTGAGGGATGGTTTGGCTCGGGTGGAATGAAGCGACTTGAGAGAGAAATGTAGGATGTGGTCTTAGAATGCTCTTGTTCTTGAAAAGGCTGGGGGGGGGGACGTGTCATAAGGTGCTTGTGTCCTACCGGCAAACAGGTTTGGGCCCTCGAAGGGGAGCTCCCTTGTCGATCCAGCCAGGTGGGGCCAAGAGGCCCCTTGCATTACTATGACGGGTGCAATGGATCTCACCGCTGGGTGTGCTGAGTCCAAGGATGCCTGGAGAGCGATTTATGCCATGGGACGGCTTCAGAGACAGCAGGCCCGAATTGCTCCTCATCTTGGTACAAAATCAATGCGCCCAGGCAGGCTGAGGAGTGGGCGTGGTGGTGTTTCGCCATCAGAGCTGGTGATTACAGGCAACTGAAGAGCGGGGGAGGTTGTAGCCCCAGGTCTAAGGCCTGAGAGATTTCATTTCCCACACTTTCCTTGCACAGGCCTTAAAGCGGGGGCATGGAAGCGCTTCTGGGATCCGTGTGGCTCCCCCAAGCAGCGGGCATGCTGGGAATGTCCGTCCAAAGCTGGGATTGCTTTGGCAGGAGGAGCAGCATTCAAACCTGGGCCCTCGGCAGTCTCAGGTGGAGCTGTCCCAGAAAGGGGTCAACAGAACATCCCACAGAACGGTGGTTGGTTCTTTGCTCAACAGGATGGAAGAAGAGGGACAGAAGTTGGTTGTAGCTTGTTTTCCTGTCATCCACTGTGCAGCTAACCCTTAGTCTAGACCTGAGGGAAGCTGTGTAGAGGTACTGCTGGAACTGCACCTCAGAGCCAGAGTGCATGCATGGATGTGTGCGCGCGCACGCGCTTGTGTGAGTGTGCATGTGGAGCGTACAGTGTTCGTGTGGAGCGTACGGTGCTCGTTTCGCTGCCACTACTGGGTGAGATAGGCAGAATGTATGAGTGTGTGTGCGAGTGTGCATAAGTGTGCACGCTCGTGTGTAGTGCAGTGCTCGTTTCACCACCCCACCTGCGTGAGATGGGCAAAGTGTGTGCACGTGCATGTGTGTGCGTGTATGTGTACATGCCTGCGTGTGTGTGCCTGTGTACTTGTGAGTGCATGAGTGGAGCACACAGTGCTAGTTTCGCCACCACTGCCAGCGTGAGATGGGCAGAGTGTGCGTGTGTGTGTGCATGTGTGAGTGTGTGCACACGTGTGAGAGTATGTGTGTGTGTCCATGCGTGCGGAATGCATAATGCTCGTTTTGCCATCACTGCCAGTGTGCATTGGGTAGTGCACGCACGTGGGAGTGTGTGCATGCGCATATGTGTGCGTGTATGTGTGCATACCTGTGCGCTTGTGTGCGTGTGTGCGCATGCGGAGCGCACAGTGCTTGTTTCGCTTCCACTGCCGCCGTGAGATGGGCAGAGTGCACGCATGTGAGAGTGTGTGCGTGCTGCCGGCGTGTACTAGGCAGTGCACTGTTCTCACGTCCATGCCTAGAGACGCAAGTTCCCTGAGGCCAGCTGGAGGGAGCGTAGGGCCGTTCACCTGCTGGTGCAAGTGAAGTGCTCTCTCTGTATTTCTGCCTTGCCACGGCCCACGCCCATGTACGTGTGCTGGTTCCCCCAGGCACCGCTCAGAAAGACCAGGCCTTGGACGCACACACATACTCTCACACGTGTGCACACACTCACACATGCACACACATGTGTGACGGGACGTGGCGAAAAGGCGTAATACCTTTGCTACCAGGAGGGCCCAGGGGAGCCTGCGAGCACCGGAGCACGGTCCGTCGGGGAAGAGCAGCACAGGCAGGTGACTGGAAAGAAGCACTGCCCCCAGCGCCCTGGAGCACTGTCACTGGCTCCTGTGACAGACACCGACCACGGGGCGAGCTGCACGTCGGAGCAGCACACAGCTCTGCCTCAGGCACGCAGCCCGTGGCCGTGCTGCTGGGCTCTGTCTGTGGCTCTGGCAGGAAAACAAGCTACAACCAACTAGAGGCACAGGGCACAGCCCCTGGCACGGGCAGCCGTAGGGACGTCCCTTGAAGGGCTGGAGCAGCACTAGGGGGCTGCTGGAATACACGGCACTTCTCTGGTGCCACAGGCATGCCCCAGCCGAGGGGCAGCTCTGGGTGAGTGAGCACACTGCTCAGAAGTAAAGCGTCCCCTGGCAGGGAGATCTGGGAGGGTGCACCTGCCCCACCCCGCAGCCTCCCTGGGCTGCTCTGGTGGGAGCCTGGCGATCCAAGGGAGCAGCTCGGCCGAAAGGGAGGAGGTGCTGCGGAAGCCCCGGCGGTGCAAGCAGGGACAGACTCTGGAGGATGCTGGGCGCTGCACTGACGGAGGCGCCAGAGCCCCTCGGCCGTGGGGACGGTGCATCAGGAACACATGGGACGTCGCACGGGGACTAGTTACTGTGCCGTGGGCACCCGTGTGTTTTGGATAGATGTCCTTACCCGGGGCGGGCATATTTTCCACCGACAGGGCTGTGAGCTGGGTCTGGATCCCCCTCTCCAGGTGGCAGCCCCCCCAGCTAGCCACTGCCCACTGAAGAGAGCCAGTGTATTGACTCTGGCCACTAGGCCATGCTGCCCAGAGCCAGGGCTGCCATATGGAGTTTTGCCCCTCGGCCAAGCTATCCCAAAACAAGGGTGCTTGCAGATTTAGTCACGGGGCCGCCATTACCTCGCACTGTGCCAAGCAGGGGCGGGGCCACTCGTCCCGTAGGAAGAGCTGCAGGCAGACTCTGTCCTTACTCCTAAAAGCAGAAGGCCCTTTGCCAAATGGTGGCAAGGCAGCTTCTCACAGGCAGCGCGCTGAGAGCCTGGGGCGGGTCTCTCTCGGCAAGGCTGCACGTTGTTGTGGTGCAATATGCTGCTCCGAGGGCGCTCTCGCTGCTCTTACCAAAGGCACGTCTCGCGCTGCTGCTTAATCCCCGAGCTTCCCTTGAGCCAAACGGATATTTTAATTTTATACCCATGTCTGGAGCTCCCTAATGGGGATTCGTCTAAGTGCTCTCCAAATTGCTGTGATAAATACTACAGAGTCCTTAAGGACCAGTTTGAACTCACTCAAAACCACCTCTCCCTCCTAAGCGCACGTCTTTAAAGAGCTGCTCCTGTCAAAAATGACCGAACTCTGGCAAACTGAGCCTTAGATTTCCTTTCTGGATGGCACCGATGCTTCTCAGCTCAGTCCTACCCCTGGCTGTGGCACTCCTAGCGCGGCTCACTTGGAGTCTGGCGGTTACAGGTATGTCACAGATTAATTCTCTCACCCGAATGAAGCTCCTTCACCAAAGATGACATTGTATTTGTAATTGAATCCGCTGCTACCAGTAAATCGTTATGGAGGTTTCTCCTTGTACCTAGGAAAGTGAGAGAGGAAAAGAAAATGAAAACTGCTGGCAGATATTGGACTTGTTTCCCAAGCTGCGTACGACAGGCTGCTCGGTCGGATGTTGACGGGCAGGCACAGTGAGCGACTCCTTCCTCGCTCGGGAATGGAATAGCTGAACTCCCAACGCTCGCCTTCGCCTGCAGGGCGCCCGTGGGGGGAGAGCCCATTCAAACATTCTGGGCTAGGGACCATTTCTCAGCTGGCCTGGAGCGGCTAACGACTGTCTGCCCAGCCCCGCACTGTTACACTGTGCGCCAGGCCTGGCTCCGGGGGCACCGCTCAGAGGGCCAAGTCAGGGCGAATTGCTCAGAACCAGGCCGGCTTCCAGCCCAGGCCTGGGGCCTCCCCACTAGGCACCAAACCAGCCACCCCGAGCACGGCTCTTTGCCAGCAAGAAGTCACCCAAGCAATCCCCTCGGCCCTTCAGCTTCTCCTGTGCCCCCCAGCCCCCCCTTACACAGGGGAGAGGTTATAACCCGTCCCCCACCTCCCCTCAGACACCCCAGTGCTCCCTGTGCCCCCCAGCCCCCCTCACACAGGGGAGAGGTTATAACCCGTCCCCCACCTCCCCTCAGACACCCCAGTGCTCCCTGTGCCCCCCAGCCCCCCTCACACAGGGGAGAGGTTATAACCCGTCCCCCACCTCCCCTCAGACACCCCAGTGCTCCCTGTGCCCCCCAGCCCCCCTCACACAGGGGAGAGGTTATAACCCGTCCCCCACCTCCCCTCAGACACCCCAGTGCTCCCTGTGCCCCCCAGCCCCCCTCACACAGGGGAGAGGTTATAACCCGTCCCCCACCTCCCCTCAGACACCCCAGTGCTCCCTGTGCCCCCCAGCCCCCCTCACACAGGGGAGAGGTTATAACCCGTCCCCCACCTCCCCTCAGACACCCCAGTGCTCCCTGTGCCCCCCAGCCCCCCTCACACAGGGGAGAGGTTATAACCCGTCCCCCACCTCCCCTCAGACACCCCAGTGCTCCCTGTGCCCCCCAGCCCCCCTCACACAGGGGAGAGGTTATAACCCGTCCCCCACCTCCCCTCAGACACCCCAGTGCTCCCTGTGCCCCCCAGCCCCCCTCACACAGGGGAGAGGTTATAACCCGTCCCCCACCTCCCCTCAGACACCCCAGTGCTCCCTGTGCCCCCCAGCCCCCCTCACACAGGGGAGAGGTTATAACCCGTCCCCCACCTCCCCTCAGACACCCCAGTGCTCCCTGTGCCCCCCAGCCCCCCTCACACAGGGGAGAGGTTATAACCCGTCCCCCACCTCCCCTCAGACACCCCAGTGCTCCCTGTGCCCCCCAGCCCCCCTCACACAGGGGAGAGGTTATAACCCGTCCCCCACCTCCCCTCAGACACCCCAGTGCTCCCTGTGCCCCCCAGCCCCCCTCACACAGGGGAGAGGTTATAACCCGTCCCCCACCTCCCCTCAGACACCCCAGTGCTCCCTGTGCCCCCCAGCCCCCCTCACACAGGGGAGAGGTTATAACCCGTCCCCCACCTCCCCTCAGACACCCCAGTGCTCCCTGTGCCCCCCAGCCCCCCTCACACAGGGGAGAGGTTATAACCCGTCCCCCACCTCCCCTCAGACACCCCAGTGCTCCCTGTGCCCCCCAGCCCCCCTCACACAGGGGAGAGGTTATAACCCGTCCCCCACCTCCCCTCAGACACCCCAGTGCTCCCTGTGCCCCCCAGCCCCCCTCACACAGGGGAGAGGTTATAACCCGTCCCCCACCTCCCCTCAGACACCCCAGTGCTCCCTGTGCCCCCCAGCCCCCCTCACACAGGGGAGAGGTTATAACCCGTCCCCCACCTCCCCTCAGACACCCCAGTGCTCCCTGTGCCCCCCAGCCCCCCTCACACAGGGGAGAGGTTATAACCCGTCCCCCACCTCCCCTCAGACACCCCAGTGCTCCCTGTGCCCCCCAGCCCTGCCCAGGGAGCAGGAATCCCGTTGCTCTCGCTGGGCGGCGCCTCCCGAGACGGAGTTTGGCGCGAGAGCCGGGCCCCTGCCCATGTCCCTTTTAGGCAAACAGCCGTCACCGGTGTCACATGATTGGATTCTAAAGAGCATTGCTGCACCCTTGGGGCGGTGTTTGCCCCAAAGTGTATACAAAGGGGGCCATGTGCGATGTCACATGACAGCTTCTGCTCCACTGGCTCTGTAGGTGCTGGTCCTGACTCGCTGTCATGTCTGTGTGTGGGGTCAGAAACACGCACTCTGCAGGGAGGCTGGAAACTTCTCTGTGGCTGAGCAACGGGCAAGGAAAGCTCAGCCAGCGGCTATGGCAGTTAGCAAGGGGGCAACGAATCTCTAGGTGCCAGGACACACCTCAGGCGTGGGACTGATACCTAAGGGCTACCAGCAGGGACACAGGGACAGGCCACTGGCCAGGTGACCTGCTGCAGCCAAGGAGATGCCAGGAGGGATATAAGTGCCATGTGGCCCCTCCATCTAGGTCTTCTGCTCAGCTCCTGATCCCAGACGCAGCCTTGCAGGGAACAACGAGCCGGGAAGAACCCTGGACCCATCCTGACGTCGGATGTAAACAGAGACTTTTAAGCCAGCAGCTGTAACATCTCTGCTAGAGCCTGAATTGGGAACTGGGAGATTCGATGCATGTAATGTATTATCCTTTAACAGCCTCACTCTCGCGCTTTTCTTTCTTTTAGTAATAAACCTTTAGTTGTTAGATGCTGAAGGATTGGCTCAGCGTGATTTGTGGGTAAGATCCAGAGGGTAAATTGACCTGGGACCTGTGGCTGGTTTCCTGGGACCGGAAGAGCCCGTTCGGGGTAGGTGAGATTGGGTTCTATAACCTCTCCCCGTGTGTTAGGCCCAGCCGGTGTATGAGGCCCGGGGCCACCTGGGGCACAGATATTGCTGGGGTGTTGGAGGGGTTTTGAGTCTGGCTGGCCGGATGGGCAGCTGAAGCGCTCTGTGGGACTGGTGTGTGGCCTGTTTGGGAAGGTCTCCAGTCTGGGGCTGTAAGCAGCCCCGAGTGTGAGCAATTTGCTCTGAGCGGACGCCCTCAGCTGTGCCCAGACCCGGCCTGATCCATCACACCAGGTCTGTGTGCTCTCAAGGAAATTCCTCAGCTGGGACTGCACTGTGAAGGGCCATGGTCAGTGAAGTGCTGCTGGTCGCTGGAGTAGCCCCCCTTGACAAGAGGGGAGCGACCCCTGCGGAGGTCTCCCAGAGGGGAGCATCTGAAATACCAGGACAGAGCCACTACCTCTAACCCCCCAATCTCACAGGCACATGAGTAGCCGAAAGAGAATCAGTGAAGCAGGAGTATTCAAGAGACCCTCACGTGGCCACTGTGCACAGCATGTGGGGACAACACAGTGATCCGCACGCTCACATCGAAATCCCATAGTGCCCCGTGAGGCTCCGTCGCACAGCCGGCAGACAGAGCCCAGCAGCACGGCCACGGGCTGCGTGCCTGAGGCAGAGCTGTGTGCTGCTCCGACGTGCAGCTCGCCCCGTGGTCGGTGTCTGTCACAGGAGCCAGTGACAGTGCTCCAGGGCGCTGGGGGCAGTGCTTCTTTCCAGTCACCTGCCTGTGCTGCTCTTCCCCGACGGACCGTGCTCCGGTGCTCGCAGGCTCCCCTGGGCCCTCCTGGTAGCAAAGGTATTACGCCTTTTCGCCACGTCCCGTCCAAGGCCTGGTCTTTCTGAGCGGTGCCTGGGGGAACCAGCACACGTACATGGGCGTGGGCCGTGGCAAGGCAGAAATACAGAGAGAGCACTTCACTTGCACCAGCAGGTGAACGGCCCTACGCTCCCTCCAGCTGGCCTCAGGGAACTTGCGCCTTGGGAGTTTAACTCCAGAACAGCTCATGCTCACGCACTAGTGCCCTGAGGCACAGGACACCCTGGGTTCGCAGTGTGGAGAAGGCCACAAGAGCAGTGGAGGCCGCTGGCTGAAGCCATCATGGCCAGACCTTCTTGCCTGGGCGCCCTCTCCATCCCTGGCTTTCGTGGGGAGAAAGCAACGAGGGGGATTCTGGAACAGGACAAGCAGAAGAGGTAAAGAGGAGAACAAGCACGTAAGCAAACGGCAGCCAGGGAGCTCCACTTCAGGATGAGCAGATGGCACGGAAGACTCACTCCATTCCTCGTACTGTGGGAGTGAGATGGCTCCCCGCAGGGTGAATATCCTGCTGCCAAGTCTCCTGACGTCCCAGCCTCAGACCTGGGCTGCTTTCCTCCTTGCAACAGAGGAGAACGAAGCCTCTATTCCTCTTCAGCACTGAGAAAGAGGCGGTGGCTGGGACTCAGCTCAAGCAGCCGTCTGTGCCCTGGGTCTCTTCAACCTTTTGGACCTTTTTGGCACCAGGTGTCTTATGGCCTGAAGACTTCCCTGGCACCACGAGGTCGGGCATCTCTCAAGCAGATGCCCATAGAGATTCCTCTAACCGGAGGAGCCTCCGCGTAGGCTCCCGCACCCGTAGGTCCTGGGAAGTAAAAGCACACATCAGCCACCGCCTCTCGGAATGACCTTTTCCCAGGCCTGAGCAATGATGTCACCCAGAGACTGGCATGCTGCCCTGGCAAACCACGCCCCACAGGAACCCACACGTCATCTAGGATCAGACACACTGGGGACCCAAAGCCAGTACAGAGCGGGGCATGGACCTTACGCTGACTGTGGACCTGTGCAACTGGGCAGCACTAACTACACCTAATCACAATGCAGACTGCAACAGCAGCACACGATTCGAGGGTTCCCTTTCAGCAAACACGTGGAGCCCTGGGCCACTTGAACACTGACAAAGTAGCTTGGGCTACGCTTTCGTGGGCAGAGCCCCCCTCTTACCCGCTGGCGCTGCCCGAAGGGGGGGCGCCAGCGGGCACCCCACAGGCGGGACTGCACCCTGACCATGCTCCACGCAGAACAGCTGTGCTGGGGAGGGGTGTCACTATGGTACTTCCTATTCTGTTTGCTGCTTGGCTTTTTATTTCTCACCTTTTGGTTGGGTTTACTCTTCTCCCCTCGCCACGAGGCTTGGACACTTAGTCTCTACCGGTGTGTCTGCCTGTGGGCAGCTTTGCGCACTGGGTAAGGGCTACATTCAAATTTAGCCCTTCCTGATTGGCCATCCACATCTTCAACATTTTCTGACCCAGCAATCAGCTTACAGCGAGGCGACGGTTGCTGCGCGCTCAGGGCCAGAGTGCTGTTTATCTTTTCCCGGTGCTTTCCGTTCAGTTCCTCCCTGCACCCTCTGGCTCACATTCTGGTAAGTGGTCTCCCATTCTGGACTCAGCTCACAGCACTGAGACATGGCGTTTCTTACCTCATTTGTGGCAGCTGGGTAATGCTTAAGTGTCTAATTACTCGCATGCAGAACATGGCAGCTGAGAAACCTGGAGGCAAGGATTAGGCCACACACACCCTGCAGAGAAAAGGATCCTTCCAGCCCGCTGTGGAAGCATATCCGCACTGATCCACCCCCGAGCCCTGCATTCCCTTGGTGTCATGAGCAGTCCCTGCAATGCGCGGCAATAGCAGGGTTTGCCTGGCACTACACTCACCTTGTGCAAAAGCTTCCTGCACCTCTCCCCCGACTCCTGCCAGGGAGTCCTGCGGCGTGTGGGTGGGGGTAGAGCCAGCGGAAGTGGCTCTGACAGGCATCGGCATTGGGTGACTGGCTCCGTGGGTCGGTGAGGAGCGCGGGGAGCCGGCTGCTTGAGCCTGCAAGGAGAAACATGACACTGAGTATGCAGACCGGTAACTTACGCATCCGGGATCAACGTTTGTAAACAGTTCCGAACGCAGCTCAGGCACCACCTGCAAACATGCCCTGGGCACGCAGACGTACCAACGGGAGCCCTCACGAGCCTCCGACTGGACGAGGCCCAGATCCAAGCTCCCCAAAGCCGCCCCATCCCTGGAGTGCACCAGGCCAGGAGGATGCTGATAAAGCGGACAAGGTGCAGGAGAGCCAAAGGGAGGATGAAAAGTCCAGTGGTTTGCTCGGACAGTGACCGGTGCCAGATGCTTCAAAGGCAAGTGCAAGAAACCGCGTGGTGGCAATTATCAACCAGCCTGCCTGCAGGTGCAGGGTCTCCCGACCGCCACGGCCGGCCGAGCAGGAGGACTTACGTGAGACGCTCTCGTCTGCCACAGAGCTGGTAAATGGCACCCAGAACTCTTCAGACAGATTTGGAGACAGCTAGCGTCACGCGTGGGAAACGCAGGCGCCTCCCCACAGAGCCCAGCCTCCGTGGTGGGTCACATGCCTGTGACCTTAAAGCCCAGGTGCACGGTAGAAATGCCAAAGAAGGCAGGGAAGAGCCGTCACACTGCCCTCGCCAGAGCTACCCCTCCCCGCACAGCTCCTGGTGCGGCTGGGACCACTGGCAGCAGGAGAGCGTCCGGTCGTGTGGAACCAGCCCTGCAGGCCTGGGCGGCTGGCGAAGGGAAGGGCTTTCACCAGGCCTGGCGGAAAGGGGAAGCGGCAGCGTCCCTGGGAACAGAGCCCCAGGCCAAAGTGCAACGGCGTTTCCTCTTGGGCTCCCTGGGTCAGCCCAATCCAGAGTCTGGGCACTCCAGGACTAGCACTTGGGGTGCCCTCTTCAGCCAGCCTCTGCCCCACAAATGAGCATTTGTATGGCTCCAAGGCAGGCCCAGGCAGTGTCTGTCACAGCCCCCTGCCTGGCTCTCTGCAAACTCCCATTTAACCAGCTCGCCGCGTACCTGCGCATGTAACCAGGGTGGGGGGGGCCGCCTGGGCTGGAGCGTCCCTGCCCACGGCGCAGGGGGCCCAGCCGGGCCACTGGTTAACCTGGTTAACCAGTCACATTTTCACTCTGCCCAGTCACGGCTGTTCTCTCGGCAGTCCCACGGAGACCCGCACGGTCGTGATGCCTGGCAGCCGTGTCCGGTCCCACACGTGGCTCCTGCTGCTCTGCCAGAGTCCAGCCGAGCACCCTCCCCTCTCTGGCCGGGTGTGCGAGGACGAGGAAGCTGGGGAATGAGGGTTACAGCAGCGAGGGGGCTGATGGACATCCTACTCCCTGCCATTCAGATGCAAGACACATCACTGCATAGGGACCCAATCCCTCTCCATCCTCCCCCAGCGCCACAGCCTCTCTGCAACATTCCCAGCTTGCTGGCCCCCGGGGTCAGATCGTGGGCCCAACACCCAGCGCACGGCAAAGGAAGCCCCTCTCAAACTACGGCATGCCCCTACTAGGGATGTGGGACAGATTTGTAAATGATCAGCCAAGCAGCCTGGGCTTCTCCGTTGATCCAAATGACTGCACACAACCTCCCCTCTGTACACGAGGCAGCAAAGGGGAGGGGAGGCGGGGGGCCAGTGCCAGTAAGCAGCTGGTTCCCACAGAGCTGCCTGCCCCTCCCAGAGGCATCATTGCGGGAGGCAGATGGGCATCAGTCTCGGGGCGGGGGGGGTAGTGCACCCTCCCCCCACACTTCAAATCCACTGCCCCCCAGGCACTGGCTCCACGGAGCCCCTTCCCCCCTCCCCTGTGCTGGTGCCTCTGATAGAGAGGCAGCAAGGCGGAGGGGGAGGAGGGCAGGCGGAAGCTGGTACATGCAAGACGCTGGCTTTCAAGCATGGGGGGAGAGCAGGGGAGATGCCAGCACAGCCTCTGTCTGTGGGGCGCCCCCCTGGACAGGGGCTGCTGCCACCCCACACGGCTGCTCTGTATCAGAGGCAGCAGTGCGGGGCGGCTGGCAGGAGTCAGTCTGCACGGGGAGCCAATTTTTAAACTGCCTCCCCCTCGTGGACCGGCTCCACCTGCATAGAGAGGCAGCAGCGAGGGGTGGCAGGAGGCTCCCTGGGAGTGGGGCCAGGAGCCAAGAGTGCACTGACTTCCAGCCCCGCCCCCAAACCGTGTTTTAGTAACTGTGCAACCACTAAATATTGTTCTGGCTCCACGATTACTAAAATACACCCCACGTACCGTCCCTAACCCATCCCCATCTGCACCTGCAATTAACACGGGATCGGAGCAGCTAGAGAGCCCCTTCTCCCACCCTCATCATGTTTCATAATAATAATGGAGATTGCCTATCTCCTAGAACTGGAAGGGACCTTGAAAGGTCATTGAGTCCAGTCCCCTGGCTTCACAGCAGGACCAAGTACCATCCCTGATGAATTTTTGCCCCAAATCCCTAAATGGCCTCCACAAGGATTGAACTCACAACTCTGGGTTTAGCAGGCCAATGCTCAAACCACTGAGCTATCCCTCTCCCCTTTTAAACTGATGTTTAAAAGATTTTCAGTACGTCTTCCTCCCTGCTGCTCAACTGAAGAATCACAGAATCCCAGGGCTGGCAGAGACCCCCGGAGTCATCGAGTCCAGCCCCTGCCCAAAGCAGGACCAACCCCAATTCAATCAGCCCAGCCAGGGCTTGGTCAAGCTGGGACTTAAACACCTCTAGGGATGGAGACTCCGCCACCTGCCTAGGGAACCCAGCCCAGTGCTTCCCCTCCGCTGGACCCTCTCCAATGCGTCCACATCCTTTCTGTAGTGGGGGGCCCAGAACTGGACTCAGTACTCCAGATGTGGCCTCACCAGAGCTGAATAAAGGGAATAATCACTTGTCTGGATCTGCTGGCAATGCTCCTCCTAATGCAGCCCAATATGCCATTAGCCTTCTTGGCTACAAGGGCGCCCTGTTGACTCATATCCAGCTTCTCATCCACTGTAACCCCCAGGGCCTTTTCTGCAGAACTGCTGCTTAGCCAGTCGGTCCCCAGCCTGTAACTATGCTTGGGATTCTTCCTCCCAAGGGCAGGACTCTGCACTTGTCCTTGTTGAACCTCATCAGATTATTTTTGGTCCAATCCTGCATTTTGTCTAGGTCACTCTGGACCCTTCCCTGCCCTTCTGCGTATCTACCTCTCCCCCTAGCTGAGTGTCATCTGCAAACTTACTGAAGGTGCAACCTATCCCCTCAGCCAGGTCATTAATACAGATGTTGAATAAAACTGGTCCCAGAACTGATCCTTGGGGCACTCCGCTAGAAACCGACCGCCATCCTGACACCGAGCCGTTGATCACTACCCGCTGGGCCCGGCCTTCTAGCCATCTTTCTATCCATCTTACCGTCCATTTATCCAATCCAGACTCCCTTAACTTGCTGGCAAGAATACTGTGGGAGCCCGTATCCAAAGCCTTGCTAAAGTCCAGGTAGATCCCATGCACTGACTTCCCAGTGTCCGGATACCCTGCTATAGAAGGCAATCTGGCTGGTCAGGCCGGACTTGCCCTTGGTGGATCTGTGCCGACTGCTCCGGATCACTCCTCAAGGAGAAACGTAATGCTTAGGAGGAAAATGGGCCGCAGCGCCTGGGCCCTACTTCGCGTCTGATTGGCCGCTTCATGCCTATGGCGAAGAGAAGCCTAAGGGCGAGTCTTGCTAAATACGCCAGGCAATGCCGCTGACGGGGAACCTGTCATTCTGAACCCCGCTAACAGCGGATTTCGCTCCCAGGGCTGGGAGTTCTACATTTCAAAGAGCGGATCGTTAGCAAGTAGAGAACGTGCCCAAGAGACCGACAATTCCAGCTTTTTTGGCACCACAAACATATGAATAATTCAGTGCAAAGCCCAGCTGGAGCTGCATAACAGGAGAGCTCCCGAGGGGCGCAGCACGGGGAGAGCTGCAGCGGCCACGTCCGTTTCAAATGAAGTTGGGGTGGAGACCTGAGTGAGACAGGACTGGGAAGGCAGGGAGGAAGCTGCAGGGACTGCACAGGCCCAGGCGCTGGCCACCCCTCAGGAGAGGAGGGGTCCTAATACCCACCGGGAGGTACCTCTCCAAGAAGCAGGGGGAGGGACGTGTCGCCCAGGCCACACCATACAATTACAGACACTCATCACAGGCTGCCACTAATCACTTCAGACACAATCACGGCAGCCGCTGGGGAAGGATTCACAATGAGCAGCCTTGGAGAGCCGGTTTTCGGAGGAAAAGCAAGAGACCAGACCACAGAATTGGGAGCGCATGACTGATTCCGGTCGCCATCCCCCACAGCAGCTCTGTCTGAGGGTCCGTCTAGACTGCGCTGCTCTCTCGGGATACTGGAAGGATCCCGGAAGTATCCCGAAAGAGCAGCGCTGCCTCTTTAGAAGCGCCCGCCCGTCCGCGCCCCTGGAAGGAGGGTACGGGATCTGTCGGAATCCTGCCTTACTCTGAAATGTGACACTGCCAAAGAAGCGCTTTCGCTGGACACTTGGAATGAGCTACGCAATGTGCGTAGGGCAAATTCCTAGCTTGTTCCAGCAGAAGGGTGCTGCCTCGACGCGCCCGAAGAGGGGTCCGCACTACACTGCGAGGGCAACTGAAGCTGCCTTGCACGGATCCCCCTGTGGCAGAGTCTTCACTCCCAGCTTAGCGCCGCCGACACGAGTGCCTCTCGATGCTGAGTTAGTGCCCCGATGTGATGCAGTGGGGGGGCTGTCTGCTCTGTAACCTGGAGTCCCCCTGCGCTGGCTGTGCAATCCCCACTGACTCCCCCGTGGGTGGATTGGCCCAGACACCTCGGCCCAGCCTGGGCAGTTAGCAAAACTCTTCAGGGGGAGAGACAAAGGGAGGGAGGCGGAGACGAACACCTGGCTGGGGGCATGGCCTGGGAGCGAGGCAGCTTCTGGCTGGAAAACATGAAGGCTGTGTCTACACTGGGCCACTTATTCCGGAAAATCAGCCGCTTTTCCGGA